AAATCTCCAATACAACGTCCCCAGCATAATGCACTCCTGCATATATAAACTGAGCATACCTGGGGGCCCTGCACTAGAGATCTCTGAAACGCACTGTTTTCAAAGTGGCAGATAGATAATATGAGATGAAACCCAGGAAATAAATGTCAAATAAGGTAGATTAGTATTGTACTTGACTGTACTTTATGCTTCATGAACACCAACAAAGTTGAAAAAAAAGGTAGGTTAGCTCGCTTACCCAAGTAGCCGTTTTGTGAGTAGAAGTTGTCGACCCACTTCATCTGAGTCTTGTTGTAGATGTCAGGAACATACAGAGCCTTGTCCTGCCGTCCCCCGGTTATACTGCCTGCCAGCTGACCATCAGACACTAGCTTCTCCAACACAGCTGTTAACGGTACAATCAGCACACTTTATTTACAAGACTCAAATTTGACGACAACTAAATTGGGAGAGACCAGTCGTTCGCTGGAAGTAAGATACAAGGAATATTTCAGACTCCCCAGTCATTTTCCACCACCTACAACATCTGTGTCTTGTTATAGATGTCAGGAACATACAGAGCCTTGTCCTGCCGTCCCCCGGTTATACTGCCTGCCAGCTGGCCATCAGACACTAGCTTCTCCAACACAGCTGTTAACAGTACCAAATTTGATTCAGTTTGTATAAAAAGGTATACGTAGGTGTGGTCTAAATCTGGTCATAAAACTTCCGTCAACTTTGGTTTGTCAGTGGTTGGGGGAAGGTTCTGAATGTGTTACAGGGGCCGAATATAGCCTCCGTAGCAGGCTTATAGAACTGGAGGTTTGGTGGTCTTCGGCTGTTTTCTGATTAGCCTCCGTAGCAGGCTTATAGAACTGGGGGTTTGGTGGTCTTCCGTTGTTTTCTGATTAGCCCAGTTCTGATCGGGTGTAATTCAACCAGGCCGGCTATGTTGTCTATATGCAATCAGAAAATAGCACATACATGTAAAAGCTCCCAAAGACAATGAAGACCCCCAGTTTTTGGCATGCTATGGAGGCTAGGCCGCATAATGCCTGCCAGCTGACCATCTGTCACAAGCCCTTTCAAACACAGCTGCAAGCAGTTTGATATTAATTGCTTTTATTTCATTTCTATTTATTTTATCTGAAGATTAAATTTTGTTCTTCAAATGGACACATAAAAAGCTTAACGGGGACACTAGAAATAGAACAAATTACATACTAGTACTAGGCATAGATACATGTAACGTATGGTCAAGATAATTTAAGAAATTAATTTGATGAAAAACAAAGAATTTTGATGAAAAACCAAGGCACTTTACTATCTTAATAATTACATGTTTAGACAGCTGGTATTCTACACTTTATACCACTTGAAAAGTGAAGATGCAATACTAGTAGTAAGTCACAATGTTAGTGTGTACAAAGAGCATGGTGACAAAAACTAATAATTCACTTTTCAACTAATAGTATACAAACTCTAATTTCAAAAGAGTGAACATAGTCACCCTCATGGTTCTACAGTATTTAAGATCTCAAATTGTTGACATAGTATTACATAGTGTAAAAAGTTTCCCCATTCCACAATTAGTGGAAGGCAAGATACATACTATTAGCAGAAACAAAATAAGCCCAGCTTACTGTAGAAGAGTTTCTCTGCAAACCCGTACTTGTTCATGATGTTTCCCACAGGCGTTGGCCTATATACAGGTGCAAGAGAGGGATATTAAAGATTGCACATGCAGATACTTCCAACAATATTTATTATGTCTGCCTTCAACAGACGTTTCAAAGTAAGTTTCTCAAAGTAATATTCAGTGCGTCGATGAAGGTTAGACATCCAGGTAATAAGATACGCCAAAAAGTAGTTAGTCAAGCAACTGGATATGATTTTGGAAATGCCAGACGTTTCAGCTAGTATCCAGTCACTGACGAAAGCTAGTGGATGCTAGTTGAAACGTCTGACGTTTCCAAAATCATATCCAGTTGCTTGAGTAACTGCTTTTTGGCGTATCTTATTTAGTGCATTTTATATAAATACTTCAACACATCACTTCAATCAACTAAGTCAACATTCAAAGATAATTTCATCATGTTGGGATAGGATATTGGGACTTTCTTTCTTTGATGCCTAAGACATAGCTCTCAGGAAGGCTCTCAAATGTACAAATGTTAGGTGAGAGTCGTTGTTGGTTGTCTAAAAGAAAACCCCCACATCCTAGGTCAACATTACACATATAGAGCATCATTGAAATATTGTAAAAATAGACAGTTTTCAGTATTATACTGAAGTATGCTTAGTTAGTAGAATATTCTTCAATCAGTGACTGTTTTTGTAAGGTACCTCCAAATTTACAGGATTTTACCTTACAAAAACAGTCACTGATTGAAGAATATTCTACTAACTGTTAATTCTATGTGACTGACGAACCTCTTCAACAAAGTATGTTTAGATGTAGACTAGTGCTGTGTATCTAAACCCACATTTAGGTTCAGGTCCGGATTCAAGTCTAGGTTTGGGTTCAGTTCCGGACTTGTAAGTCCGGACCTAAATCCATGGTATATCCAAAATTGCATGTTGGGAACCTTGCAATGTTGTCTGGGTGACACTATGGCCACATAACATGGAGGCCGGTACTTGACGATGACCGATGGCAATATTTTCAGCAAAGTTTTTGCAATCTACGGAAGGTTCTAGGTGGTTTGGAAGGAAAAGGGGTATGTGAAATGGTCTTTTATGGTAATAAGTCCGGACTCGGTTCTTGACTTTTAGGTTTTTTTGGACTTGAACCCAAACATTTTCACAAGTCCGGATCCAAGTCCAGTGAAGTGGTACGCAGCACTAATGTAGACTGCCTAACGTGTAACGTACCTTGTGATGGCACTGAAGATGCCCCTGATCTGGGCCCTGTGCATTTTGACGAACGTGTCAGTGAAGATGACTCCCTTGTCATACGGGTCACTCTGTCCCTGGATGATGGTCCCCAGTCTCTCCAACACGGCCTGTTAATGTGAGGTATGATTATGATGATGTTATAATTATCATAAAAGTTCATCTGTGTTGGTAGTAATCATAGTAAAACATTGAACTTTATTCCAACACACAGGTTCCAGAGCAATCAATTGCTTACGTCACATATCAGTAAAGTCTCGTGTGAATAAGGTCACGTGTTTGTAAACCGTAACTCTCGCAAGATCACGCTGTGAAGTGATTGGTCATTAATTATGCTGATGAATTTGAGGCGACAGTGGTTGCTGAAAATTTGATCGCTCTGTAAACTGTGTGTTGGAATAAAGTTCAATGTTTTACTATGTTGTTAAAATGTCTTTGTAACAACTTTAGACAAGAATTCATTACTTAATCTCTTTATCATAGACATAGGTCAGTTATGAGTCTACCAAATTTGTTTGGAGGTGCTTTGTCAGAGTGTTGTCTGTCATTGAAAAGGTTTGGAAAGTCAGGGGTACCGTCATCGGCGTCTACAATCATATGACAATGAATCAAATGCTTTTAAGGTAAGTTGAGATAAATGCAATGTTATCCATGAAAAAATAGGGACGAGAGGTAACAATTAAAAGAGGTAATTTGAGCTCAGATGTCTTCTTTTATCTGAATTGTTCATAACTGTCGCTTGTAGCAGAGGTGATATAAATTCTGCAATCTCTATAGATAATGGACAATGTAGGAAGAATAGAATTGTATCCAGAACCGTGCATGCCTATACATGCCACTTCTATGCCGGGATGGTTTAGGGTTGGGATCAGGAACAGTTCTGGATAGTCTCTGTGTATTCAAGAACATAGATTCACTCCAGGCATGGTTCTGGATATGCGTGGACTATCCAGAACCGTGCCTGAGTATGGTTCTGGGTAATGCATGATTCTGGATACACTGGACTACATGTATTAGGAACAGCCTGAGCATGGTTCTGGATAAAGCATGGTTCTGGATACACTGGACTACATGTATTAGGAACAGCCTGATCAGCATCGTTCTGGATAAAGCACAGTTCTGGATATTCATGGACTATCCAGAACCGTGCCTGAGCACATGGTTCTGAATAAAGCATGGTTCTGGATACAACAGATAGTGTACAGTTACCTCCATCAGAAAGTCACTGGGCAGGTCGTACTGCTTGGTCAGCTGACCTATGGTGACCTGGCCATTCTCCTGCAGGAGGTCATTGACCTCTTCTGCCAAGCTGTCCAGGTAGGTCCTACAGGATGGAGGGAGAAACAAAATAGTTTGTACTATCACAATTGGCCATTTCCAAAAATATTGTGGTAATATTGAAAGTTCCTCTGTGTTGATAGAAGTCATTATGAAACAAGTTTAAACAGTTTTTTTTAATGTAACCTGAGTGTATTTTGCTGGTAAAATAAATAAATGAAATAAATGAAAACTGTAATAGCCAACACAAAAAACTTAAGACTTGCCCAGCTGCTAAGTCATGTGTGTCACCTGCAAAACAGTGGATTCCTTGACAAAGACTGTCAAAGTTCTAGAGTCAAAAATTTGGGTAGGTGCAATTTCTAATGTGTTGGAAATTACAGTTCTAACTTGTTTCATAATGTATCGTGGTTGATTGTCATAAAAAAGTGGCATAACTCCATATTAAGTACAAATGTACCTGAACAAAAATAGTTTCCAAAGCCAAATGTGTGCAAACTTTCCTGGCTCGAAATTAAGTGTCCCGATGGCCACTGACCACTAAAATTTAGGCTGGGACAACTAAAAAGACACTTGACCTTTTTGGGACAATAGAAAATTAATCAACATCAGAATGTCAGCCCTACATTTGTTAATCAGGCACATGTCCCGGTTTTTGAATCCGAAAAATTCCCCGGAATTTTCTGTCTACACTGCAATTATAGTGCGCCTGAGAGTGAACGTAAGCAAAAGCAAGTCTAAGTCATACAATAGTTTCCATAAACAGGTCGGGACACTTCATCCGAACTTCGGGACAATTGAAATCAATTTTGGGACAGTTAGTGCTGGGACAATAGGAAGCAAAGTTAATCTCAAGGCCTGACTTTCATGAAAATCTATGAGCTATCCCAGGACAAGCTTCCGGAGTATCCTAGATGATAAGGATAACCCACTGAACTGTTTTATATCCTGTCCATTGCATAGTGGCTATGACCTCCGACGAGTTAGACATGTCATGACTTCACGTAGCCGTACTAAGAGACATGAACAGTCATTCTTCCCCAGAGCCATTAAGCTGTACAACATGAGCTAAGCGATGAGAACTGATATACATTGTACTTGCTGTTTATATTTGTTCGCTTTTTAGCTGTTTTTATATATGTACAACAATGTCCGTTTTTAATATAATAATGTACCGTTTTAAACGTGTTCCTGAGAGCCCAGTGTTTTTACTGCACTTTGATGTAACTGTCAACGTATTTCATGGCACAAATTTATTTGTACAGGCAAGTTGACTGCAATAAAACTGAATCTGAATCTGAATCAGCTCCACATCCTTGTCAGCAGCACAGACACATGTACATGTACAAACACACCTGTCCAGCAGTCAGTGGAAACCTTAGCCCCCGTGGTAGTTACAGATGTACTAAGCCCTGCTAAATGAGGGCCTGCAAGTCCTTTTTCGTAAGGTGTAATCAGGCCGTTTTAGACTTCGTAATCCGTAGGAAGCCTCCCCAAAAATCAACGTAATTCGTAATTGGACATAAGCCGCCAATCGTAAAGTCGTAATCAGCTCTGAGACTTTAACGTAATTCGTAATAGGCGGTGAAAATTTTGCGTAATTCATAATCACTACCCCCTCTTGCAGGCCCTCCTATATGTGCGAACCAGCAGTGAAACTCACCTGTCTATGAGTTGTCCCAGAACCAGCTCCAAATCCTTGTCCGTCCTGACCACCTCGGAAGCTTTGTTCTCGATGTGGCTCAGGTCTATGTTGATGAGCTGCACAGACATGTGTATAGTTAGTGGAAGACTAAACCCGCTCGGTACATTGTAGCTACAGTATCCAACTGTAGCCAACTGTACCTATTCAGACAATTGCTGATGAGCTGCACAGGTACATGTACAAACACACCAGCAGTCGGTGGAAACCTTACTAGTAACTACAGTGGTAGCCAGTGTACTAGCCACAGATGTACTTCTCTTCTTTTGTCACTCTCAACTGAACTGACACATGATGCTTTTTTTTCAGTTAGCTACAGTGGCTTTGCCTTAGCCTGGGAGCCATCCGATTTGTAACGGCTACCCCCAAAAAAATCGGGGTAGCCGATTTTTCGGGGTAGCCGTTACAAATCGGATGGATCACCTTTCACAAGTAGTTTTTTGGGTTGAAAGGCACCAAAACTGAAATTACTGTATTTGTCCTTAAGTTTAACCCTCCATTTTATTGTAGTTAGAAGTTGTGTGTCAATTTTTTCTTATGTAAAACGACTGACCTGTTGTAGCTCCACAAGGTTGACTCTACCTGAATGTGGGGAAAAGGAAGATCCAGATTTTAATGTCCAAAGCAAAAATGCAACTACTAGTATTTAAACTTGCAACTATTCTAACTTTAACAAAACTTTTTATTCTAACCTTGCTTCTAAATATCTTGTCTTTTCCTCTGTACTAAAACAAGATATTAGTTTTTTTAGGAATTTTAGGAAGTTCAACATGAAAACTGCAGAAACAAAACCACTACAAAGTACCACTGAGATGGGCCACCCTACGCAGCGTGCGTAGTCCAGTGGTTAGCGATCCTGCCTCTGGACTAAAGTAAGAGGTTGGGAGTTCGAATCCCGGCTGATGTCGCTCACCCGACATGCACGCTACTGTTTAGGGTCGCAGTCCTTAGGACGGGACGTTAAGCCGTGGTCCACTCTTCATTGTGCTTGTCGAAAAGAGCTAGGAGAATTTCCCCAGTACAATGAACCTGTAAATACTGTACGTACATAGCATCTGTCTTCTCTGTCACGACCAGTGGAAGAAACTGGTTCGAGATCACTATCACTACTGTCACCCTAGCTGTCACAGGAATGAGTGAATAAATACATGTAGATAGTGTTTCTAACCTCCGTGCAGGTACAGTTCATCCCTGATCTCCTTGATGACCTGTTGAGGAGTGAGGTACTCCCGACCGTCTGCCGTGTACACCACCTCCAGCAATCTGGACTCTACCAGGACATTCACTATCTCTATCAAGTTACGCTCTGACAGTCTGAAATTAGAGAAAAAATAAGGTTATTATTATTATTAGTATTATTATTATTATTATTATTATTATTACACAACCTCCAGCAGTCTGGACCCCACCAGGACATTCACTATCTCAATCAGGTTATGCTCGGACAGTCTGCAAGAAGACAATGTTATTGTTACAATGTAGTAATAGTGTAACAGTGGGGGTTTATAGGCGCTACCAACTGACCCGGTGACGGGTCTAGATCTTTTTAGCTGAGTGGTTAGAGTGTCTGCCTGTGGACTGGTGCCCAGGTTTGGTTGTGGATTCGAACCCCAGCCCGGGATCAGGGGTTTTTATCTGTTTCTACTCACTCCTCCTGTTTCTTACAGTCCCATATGGCCTAATGGTTAGGATTTGGCTCTCTCACCGCCAAGGCCCGGGTTCGATTCCCGGTGTGAGAACCACTGTAAGAAACAGGAGGAGCGAGTAGAAACGGATAAAACCCCTGGTCCCGGGCCGGGGTTCAAACCCACGACCAAACCCGGGCACCAGTCCACACGCGGACACTCTAACCGCTCGGCTGAAAAGGTATAGACCCGTCGGCCGGGTCAGTTGGTAGCGCCTATAAACCCCCCACTGTTACAATAAGATTCTCACACTTCCGGGGCTAGGCATGGTAGAAATAACGTATAGAAGATGCCTTGAAACTTAAACATCATGTCCTATTTCATGCCCAGAGTAGCAGTACAGTATGGCATCATGTAAGGGGGGGGGGGCATTAAAATTATCACATTTCGAGTTCTAAGGTTTTCTTCGGATACATATACATGCTCTATGAGAATGTTGATATAATGTGAACAGGGATTATACAGTTGCAAGAACGTCAATGTCAAATTTTCAAGCCATGAGGTGCAGG